GCTAAATGTATTGCTGAACGCAAAACTCGAAAACGGCTGGACCGATTCGGCTATTGTTATTTTTTTTCAAATATTTGATGAAGACCGAGGAAGGTTCTTATGAAGAGAAAAATTAGATATATTTCACGAAAAACATAAAAATCTGTAAATTTGTGGACGGCCACAATCCAATAGCTTTTGGTAGAACGAACGTCTGTCGGATCAGCTAGTACCTATTAAATACTAGCGGCGCAGCTAGCGGGTTTGCCTTAAGGAAAACAGAAACAAACCTATCCCACGGAACTGTACATTTTTTCGGGATAAAAAGTAGCCTATGTGTTATTTCAGACTATATCTATCTCTGTGCCAAATTTCATCCAGATACGTTTAGCCGTTCTGGCGTTAAAGAGTAACAAACATCCATACTCACAAACTTTCACATTTATAAGGGGTCGAATATACTGCTGAAGTCGTTGAATCTACCGACATTATTCGTTGACAGTTAGACGTATGTTATAATAAGTCCCGATAATTGAGATACGCATATTCCAGTTAAAGTTTAGAGAATTGTGTGAAATTGTATTAATCTAAATATCTCCATAATTTTAAAATTACGTTTAATGTCCTGACACTTCAAAATAACGCTTTAAAAACTGAGGTGAAACATCAATTACTAATAAGACATATACAATTTTGATTTAAATAAAAAAAACAATAACACTTTCTTAGATTTACGCGAATATTTGACATTTTTTGTGACCATGATTGCTGTAAAGCATTCGAAACGTCGGGAACCAAAAATCAAAATAAATCCGCGAAATAATCCGAAAAGATAGTTTTATTTAAAATAAAAACAATATATAAAGGTGTTGGTTATTCGAAAATGTGGCCAAAAATGCGGGAAATGGAATACAGAATGCTATAGAAATCCTACCACACTGTTTTGTAGGCACATAGCTTCCAAAAACATCAAAAAACTCCGAATAACGTTCACACGAAAATATGTGTGTGTTCACTTCACACGCAGCACTAGTTTCTGGTTTTTAACTTTTTCTGATAGCTTTATGTAGTTCATGCATGCTCGAATAGTCGTCAAAGATATTACGATTGTTCTGTAATATTCTAAGTAAATAATTTTGTATTTTTCTATATAAATTATAATGTGTTATTTAAAACGTATATCATTAAAGTTTTTTTTTAATATATATTTCAAACCTACGATCGTCCTTACTTCGATTTGCCCCATCACTTTCAAAATCTCGATAATTCCTTCCCCTATTCTTTTAAAATGTTACTTAAAATTTTCTGTTATTGAAGAAGATTACACAAGATTTATTTATTTTATTATATATTATATTTACCAAATCCAAAAAATGTATTAGCGTTTCTCCTCGTTTATGGGTAGTTTATTTATGTAATTGTTCTGTTCCTAAAGATATATAATACACGTGTATATAGGCTATAACCTTTCTTAATAATCTCTACATAGAATAAAATTGTAACCAAGCCGAATCTGTACATTAAATATTTTTTGGTAAATCTTATTGAAATAAACATTATTATCATACAGAGGCCGAATCTATAATTTTTAGAATTTTTGTCTGTCTGTCTGTTACCGCATCACAGAAAAAACGCTGGAGGGATTTTGATTACATTTGGTATGGTGATAGCTGGTTATCCTGGTCAACATATAGGATACTTTTTACCGCGAAAAAATATCTCATTTCTGAGAAAAATACAAAAACTGTAATGTAAGAGTATACTAATATGTAAAACCTAAGAATTTGTTCATCTGAACGCGGGTGGAGCCGCGGGCAATGCTAGCAGGCTATAAAAAGCTAAAAAGTATTCAAGTTTGCGTAGCAGTTATAGAGTTTAGTGCCATGAAACAAACTCTTCAGCTAAATAAATTACTACTGAATACATACTGTGAAGGGTAGCCATTGTAACTAAATACATATACATTTCCAAGCTATGTTTAGCTTTCTACCTGTAAAATATTATTTACACGATTGCTAAAATTGTATGTGTGTGTGTGTATGTATTTGGTTGGATGGATTTAGGTGAAATCTAGTATACAAATATACTATGAAGTAGAATAACACTACTAGAAACTTCTACTTCTTGGCACCTAGGGACAAGAGAAGCAAGGTGTGGTTGGTAGTATTAAATGAAAACATGAAATATAGCGTACGTAGCTTTAGCGACCCTCGTAGCAAACTCAGTGCTTCGTAGCACTGAGGTATAATCAAGAGATCGAAGGGTCCGGAAATTCATTAATGGGATATTGTGACTACAGAATTTTGTTATCTATACAAACATAATAGAGACTAAACTGACTTCATAAAGTTAGTAATAAGAGCTCCTTTATACTTGCGATGACAGGTTGGTCGACTTTGAATAGGTTATCAGTCTTTGATATGACTTTGTGATGGCGATGGGCCAGTTTATACTTTAGATCTTTTACATTTTTTGTATCAGCAATATATGTCTTGGATAAAAAATCATCCAAAAGTTATATCTAAATATAATAAATATTATATTTATCTTATTTTTTAGCTTTTATTTATGTATATTTTAAATGTATACTTTTATTTAGTATTAGCGACTAACCCTCGCTCCACTCGGGTTTGTCCCTAGGTACGTTTTAACGGTTAGTATAGATTTGTCAGAGATGAGATATTTTTCCGCAGTAAAAAGTATCCTATATGTTGACCCGGTTAACCAGCTGTCATCATACTAAATTTCATCAAAATCAGTTCTGTGGCTTAACGTGATTTGTTCCCGACCAAACAGACCGACAGATAGACAAAAATTCTAAAAACTATACATTTGGCTTCTGTATCGATAATAATGACTAATTCAATAAGATTTTCCAAAAAATAATTAATGTACAGATTCGACTCAGAACAATATTATATGTATAGATGAATATAATGAATGAAAAAATATATAGGAGTATATTTTAACATACTATATTGTTGGTTGTGCAACAAAATGTTAGTTCGATGTTTTATTTATGCGTTCAGAAGTATAGGAAAAGTAACAAGTATTCGATTGCATTGCGCGTCACAGCAAGGCTTTAGGAAATCCAGACGAAATTGCATCGGAGTAACAAATCCTGCACTACGTTTACGAAACAAACGTTCAATATTACGTTTTTGTAAATTGGTGTTTTGCGGTTTGGAGAATGAAAAAGTATTTGCAAATTAGTAGAAAATATAAAATGAAATGAATTATCATCCAATATTTAGACTTTTTTAAGTCCCACTGGTGGGCACAGGCCTCCATTTAATACGAAGTGTATCAAGGGCACAGTCAACCACGCTATCTAAATACAAATTGACGGACAAGTACTTCGAAAACTTGCCTTCGAAAACAAAAATATTAGCATTCTGCAATCCTTTTCTATGTCCATATCCATACTAATATTATAAATGTGAAAGTGTGTTTGTTTGTCCTTCTTTTACGTCAAAACGGAGTGACAGATTGGAGTGATTTTTTTGTGTGGAGATAGTTGGAGGGCTGGAGAGTGACATAGGCTACTTTTTACCGCGGGAGATTATCTAATTCCCGCGGGAAAACACGTTATAATACAATCCAAAAAAATATTTATAATCGGAATTACTTGAAACTTGGTATTAATGCTTTTAAATATAATTAAACTAATACGTGTTTTAGCATTTTTCGAAATTCATCCTAAAAAGGGGTTAAATAGAGCATGAAAGTTTGTATGAAACTACCTTTTTAGGGATTTTTTTGTAGTTTTAGCGCGAGCAAAGCCGCGGGTTCTGCTAGTAAACTATAAGTGTGGGCAATTTCATACTCATCCGTCCGCGCAATTTTCGTAAAAAGGGGTACAAAGTTTTTGCTTCACGTATTAATATACCTATAACCTATAGATATTTGCGTAACATATTTTTACAACACTAATATCACACGTATTCACTCGATGTACTGGGATAAAAAGCCCACAACACTTTCGCCCATCTTGCCACAACAACAATCCATTACTACCTTAAAGGACATTGCAATATATAATATACCAACAGATGCATTTACGTATTTTATTATTACTACTAGCGAATTACCCTCACCAGCAACAGCGTCTTAGGTACGCAGATTTAGTTCACAATTTCATGGGTTATAATTTTTTTGCGCGGATATTTTTTTGCTCTAAAATAAATGTAGTCTAAATTACTACTTATAACATCAATTATCTGCCAGTGAAAGTTCCGTCATAATCGTTCCAGTCATTTCAGAGTTTTAGCGGACCAAACAGAGACAGATAAAACGAGCTCAGAAGGAATCAAAGAAAAGACAGCAGTTGTCTAATATGTATCTTTTATTCTCATATTTATCCACTTAAACACACTAATCACTTCACTTCACATCACTATTACACACACAATTCACTTATTATTTCACAATGTTAACACCACGACGTTACGCGTAAGAATCCGATTTACTTGTCTAGCAATCACTTTTATACCCTTTTAGTGAATGTAAATTCAAACGTCAAAATCAAAAATGACATAACGGTATCTAAAGTTGACGTTTGAATATACATTCAGCCTACAAAATATTTTATAATTAATCTCTGTAAGTTAGACAATTATTGTGCATGTTACAGTCGGCCATCCTTTAAAGAACGTGTCCTCACGTTCATAGTTTACAATAATAATAACAATAGAAATAAATATACAATCACTATATTCACTAATAATTTCACTAGATCAAGAAAATAGGGTTACTTCCTTCACCACTATTCTCAAATATTATCACTTGGGCGGCGATATCCTACGCCAACTCCTGCCCATATTATATCACTGATCACTAGGACGTGCTTCTCCTTGGGCGGCTAATTCATAAGCCAACTCATGCCCACACGTCATAAAAATCACTGTTTTCACTAATATACAGAAATAAATATATTTAAAAAATAGGTACATAGTTTATTAATCAATATAATTTACATTATACTCAGATCACTACAACATATTCGAAATTAAGTCTTGTTAATTACTATCATTGTCACTACTATCACTAGACACGACAGGGGCACTAAAACTTAACCAAGGCGAAATTTTATCAATAGATACTACATTTTCGTATCTCTTGCCTTTCCTAGTTAGAGGCGTATCTTCTACTACGAATCGATCATTAGGTAATATCTTTTTTATTCTGTATGGACCTTGACATTTGGGTTCTAGTTTCTTGGACTGACCTGAATTTCCAGCTATTGTTCTAATAATTTTTACTAAATCGCCCTCTTTATATTTTCTAGGTGATTTTCTCTGTAAGTCAAATCTGTCTTTATTTTTTTCTTGATTATATTTGATTAATTCTTTTGCTTCTAACCTAATTTTGTCTAACGAGTCTTTTATAACCCCGTTACCTATATCATCACTAATACTGTTCAAAACGCCCTGAGATGGATTATTTACTTTTCTTCCAAAAAGCATTTCAGTTGGCGTTCTCTTAGTAACATCATGAACACTAGTGTTAATACCCAATTGTACCTCCGGTAATCTTAAGTCCCAAGAGTCATTACTTTTACCATGATTTAAAGTACTAAGAGAAGTTAATATAGTGCGGTTGTACCGCTCTACTTGCCCATTAGCTCGAGGTGTGGCTACAGAATTTAAAATGTGCTTAATACCTACTGATTTTATAAAATCTTCAAATTTACGACTCGTAAAGCTTGTGCCTCTGTCTGTTATTAAACGAGATGGGGTGCCAAACAAACTAAAATAGGTTTTAAAAATCTTAATACTAGCTTTACTTTTCGTGCTACGTACTGCGCCTAGATAAACGTATTTGGTAAAACTATCAAGTATAACTAAAATATACGTATTACCCTTCTTAGTTCGGGGAAAAGGGCCTAAATGGTCTGCATGGATTGTATGAAAAGGAATTTCGATTTTTTCAATGGGATGTAAATAGCCTTCTTTAGATCCCGATGAAACTTTATGATGAGCACATTCTAAGCAAGCAGCAACATATTTTTTTATAAATTTTCGCATCTTTGGGAACCAAAAGTTTGCCTGAATCCGTTGAAGGGTCTTTTCGAAACCAAAATGACCTACTTCATCGTGGTTCGCTTTTAAAATCTGCCAACGACTTCCCCTGGGAACTACCCAACGTAGAGTATTATCGTCAATAGCTCTGTATACACGGCCGTTTTTAATTCTGTACTCTTTATGAATAGCTGCTATTTTTGGGGTTTCGGGATCTTCTAAAATAGTTTTTATGCGTTGGATTTCTTCGTCAGTTGTCTGTGCTGTAACTATCCAGTCATCTAAATTTATTGATAGAATGTCTAAAACATGAACTTGATCTGATTCTATAGAGACTGGGCTCCTACTAAGTGCATCCACATGATTCATGCTATGACCGGGACGATATTCAATTTTACAATCGTACTCGAGAAACTGTATCCACCAACGAGATATACGAGGGATTAGATCCTTTTTAACAAAAGTCGACCTTAGCGCATTGCAATCTGTTAGTATAGTGAATTTAATTCCAAATAGATATGAACGAAATTTACTTAAGGAACAAACTACTGCCAATGTCTCCAGTTCAAAAGAATGAAACTTTTGTTCTTCTGAAGTGGTTTGTCGGCTATAATATGCAACTGGACGCCAAGGATTTGAGTCAATTCTTTGCATTAATATTCCTGCTAGGCCTAACTTGCTAGCATCCGTATGTAATTGAGTCTCCGCGGTATGATCGTATAATGCCAATATTGGTCTAGTTATAAGTAATTTTTTTAAGGTCTCAAAAGATTCTGTTTCTTTGTCAGTCCAGTTCCATGTCACGTCTTTTTTTAATAAGTTAGTTAGAGGTTTGGCTATGATCGCAAAATTCTTTATAAAACGTCTAAAAAAACTGGCTAACCCTAGAAACCGACGGACATCATGCTGATTACGTGGTACAGGGAATTTAGAAACTGCATCTGTTTTTTGATTACCAGGACGAATACCATTTATATCAATCTCAAAACCTAAGAACTCTATATTTTTTTGAAAGAAGTTACATTTTTCCATTTTTAGTGTTAGACCGGCCTCTTTTAACAAACGAAAAATCTCTTCTAACCGTTTCAATCCTTCGTCAAAAGTTTTCGCGGGTATTAGTATATCATCCATATATATAATTACATAATTGACCTTAGATTTATTTAAAATTTTATGCATAGTACGCTGAAAAACCGCTGGGGCATTTGCCAAACCAAACGGCATACGGTTATACTCGTACTGTCCGTCTGGTGTAACAAATGCCGTTTTTTCCCGAGATTCTTCTGCTATAGGGATTTGGTGATAGCCAGAAGCGAGATCAAGGGAAGAGAACAAAGACTGACCGCTCAACTGATCCAACAGATCATCAATTCTAGGCAAAAAGTAATGGTCTCTTTTGGTTCGGCTATTAAGTGCACGGTAATCTACACAAAGACGTTTTTCACCGGATTTCTTCTGTACTAAAACTATGGGACTCGCGTAAGGGGAGCTAGATTCGCGAATAATTCCATGTTCGATCATTTCGTGTATAGTTTTTTGTACGTACTGACGCTCCGAGTGTGATAAGCGATAAGGCCTATAAACAACTGGGCTTACATCTTTAAGGTGAATTTCCATTTCAGTTACAGTAGTAAAACCGAGGTCGTGCATACCAGTAGAGAAACAAGTTTTATATCTATGTAAAAGCTCTTTTAGGCTCCTAACTTCAACATCAGTAAGTTGTTCACCATACTTTATAGTGGTATTATACGTGTGAACAGAAAGGTCATAATTAACTGAATTAACCGAACAATAGTTTCTACAATCATTAAAAAAATAGGCTCGTGTTACCAAATTGCCGATTCTATAATGGACTGGTTGCTCCCCTACATTTTGTATTAGTATTTTACACTCACCATTAACTATTTCATACTCACCAGGCAATAAATAGTGTTCATTACCGGGACAACCTCTAATATTACCCCTGATATATACATAACCGTTATAAACTTCATCTGATTTCACTATTAATACTCTCATTTCCCCTAGACCAATTTTTAAATTAACCCCAGAACGCAAGGATATTTTGGAATTTAACGTGTCGTCTACTCGGTCAAATTGTAAGTATGTGTCAGTCTTAATTATTCTTAAATTTGGTCTCTCAGTGAAACTATGACCTAATAATACCGGCAAGTTAATCAAACTATCTGCTACAATAAGTATTTCAACTTGTTTTTCTACTAAGCCTTGAAGTTCTATGTCTGCAAATGTACGTCCTAACGGTAAATAGGGTATATTTCCTAACCCTCTTAAATACGGGCTATTCACAGAGGTCCATGTTAATTTTATAGCTTTAGCGTCGCTTTCTCGTATCAATGTAACCTCACTACCTAGATCTACTTGACAGCATATAGAATTACCATTAATTTTGATCATTACTTTATATTTATCATTCGGTGTAGTTTTAATAGATACATCTAAAACATTTTTTTGTTCAGAGGTAATTCTTTTTTGACAGTTTGATGCAGTATGTCCGAGAAGATTGCAATTTGTACATTTTATTATAGGTTTTGGACATTTAAAACTAGGGTGACCTACTTCTTTACAGTTAAAACAGGTTAAAGATTCTGGTTTATGTCGGTTTTTATTGATTAATTCATTAACACGAGAAGAGTTACCAACGTTGTTATTTGGGAATCTTAAAAATTTCTTTGCGTCTAAATTTTCTTTTGTCTGCGATTTTATGATATTAAAGAATTCTAAAACATCTTCTGGTCTATTAAATTTTGCTGCTTGAGCACTGACACGTACACCTCTATCCTCTATGCCATAAACTATACAGTCTACTGCTTGTTTACCAAAAATTTTGCAGCGGTTTAGTAAATTAATTTTAGAGAAGTAGTACATTTCTAGAGACTCGCCAGAACGTGTTCTTCTATTAAGCATTTCAGTAAGTAATTCTGCATAATTTTCATTTATAGGAAAAGAATCTCGTAACATTTGTTTCCACTCTGACCAACTATGCTTAAGAGAAGGTAGGCCCTGGTACCAGGATTTAGCATGACCGGTTAACTTTTGTAAAGCATAATGACTAGTTTGTTTGTCACTCCAATTATAAATTTCGGCACATTCATCAATCTTATCTAACCACATTTCTACGGTTTGATTTCTAATTAATGGATCAAACTCAGGAATAAAATTATTTAAACTAGAAAACGAATCTCTATCGCTAGCTTTGGACTCAATTATTTTTAAGAAATTATTAAGAAAACTATATGACATATCAGTTTGTTCTTTCGTACGTTTTGGGGAAACTTCTAATGGTGTTTGTGGTACCGATTCTTCATGTTGTCGTTTGTTCGATTTATTTTGAAGTGGTTGGATTTTATCACTGTCCAGATCTCGTAGCTTCTTTTGTAATTCATCTTCTAGTTCTCGTATTCGTTTTCTCTCGTTATATAGATGACGTTCTTGAATATATAAATCACAGTACCTGCTTTGACTTCGTGCACTGTTGTGTGAGTTCTCGAAGTTAATACTTGGGCTGCGGCCGCGGTTGCAGCTACGACGACGGCTGCCATGACGACTGTGACTGATGTTGCGACTACAGTCACGGCTACAGCTGCGACTACGTCTGCGGCTGCGGCTACGACTACGACTGCGACTACGTCGCCGGCTGCGTGCACGACCTTGGCTTGATTTTTCTTTTCGCTGCGATCGCCCTGGAGTCACCAGGCTTCGACGTTCTGGGTCGTGAGGCTCAGCTTCCATTATCTGAAACTCGACGACAGGAGTCTCAGTTGTTGATCAAAACAATCGTTATTTCAGCTTAATATGTTACTCTTTTCCTTAAACTAAGAAACGAGAAAAACAAACTTAAGAAAATATTATGGTAAAAAAAAAATGTTAATATTTTAAACCATTTTTACCAAAACTACTAGGTGGTAGTTTTGGACGTCATTAGATTATTCCAGTAACAAAAAAAAAAATGTATTATTTTCAACCATAATTACCTTAGATTATTACTTGCGGGCGGAGCACAAAAATATACATATATTTTTGCCGATCCCACTTCTGAACTAAAACGAGCTCAGAAGGAATCAAAGAAAAGACAGCAGTTGTCTAATATGTATCTTTTATTCTCATATTTATCCACTTAAACACACTAATCACTTCACTTCACATCACTATTACACACACAATTCACTTATTATTTCACAATGTTAACACCACGACGTTACGCGTAAGAATCCGATTTACTTGTCTAGCAATCACTTTTATACCCTTTTAGTGAATGTAAATTCAAACGTCAAAATCAAAAATGACATAACGGTATCTAAAGTTGACGTTTGAATATACATTCAGCCTACAAAATATTTTATAATTAATCTCTGTAAGTTAGACAATTATTGTGCATGTTACACAGACAAAAGTTAAAAATTTTTTTTTTCTTATAATTACCTACCGTATATACCTTTAGGTATGCATTTAGTAATAAGATTTTACTTTGACATTACAAACAGATACTTCAATTTTATTTATCTACCAGCATTGCCCGAGGCTCCGCCCGCGATCAGATAACCAAAAACCAAATTCTTAGGTATTACATATCTTACAATGCAGTTTATGAATTTTTTCTCAGAAATGAGATATTTTCTCGCGGTAAAAAGTATCTTATATCTGGACCCGGATAACCAGCTATCATCATACCAAATTTCATCAAAATCTGTCCAGTGGTTTTCTCGTGATGCGGTAACAGACAGACAGACAGACAGACAGACAAAAATTCTAAAAACTATAAATTCGGACTCTGTATCGATAATAATGTCTATTTCAATTAGATTTTCCAAAAAATATTTAATGTACAGATTCGACTTAGTTACAGTTTTATTATATGTATAAGATATATAGATGTATAGATAAATTAATTTGTTTAAAACATCCAAGTCCATTTAATCCAGTTTGTTGCGACCGCATACATCAAACGCTTGGCAGGCTAAGCAACACGGCAGACGCAATAGATCGGCGACATTTTGCGGCATCCAATATTGATGGCACACGTTACAGCCAGCCTCTATGCGCAAATCTGGCTAAATTTGAAACATATTAGTGTAAAATTTTGAATTTAAAGTTTAATTTCATTATAAAGTGCTAATCGTTGTTAACTACCCACGGTTTTAGATTAGATTAGAAGCAGAAAGTAAGAGTGACAAGTACTAACTTTCTTGTGTAATTAATTTTAAGTGTTATTACTTGTGAAATATATTATAATTTATATTTAATAAAGCATTGGTTGACCCTCGTAACTCAATGGATTGGCATGTGTCTGATTGGCATTAGATTTCTATTATCTAGTTCTAAAATAGATAATTTAAGCAAAATAATAATATATTTGAACCAATTTTACGTCTGCTTTCAAACAGTACGCAAAAACGCTTTGGAACATAAAATCTATACTAATAATAAAATTAAAACTAAGTCCAATCTGTACATTCATTTTTTTTGGAAAATCTAATTGAAATAGACATTATTATCGATACAGAGTCCGAATCTATAGTTTTTAGATTTTTGTCTGTTTTTCTGTCTGTCTGTCTGTTACCGCATCACGAGAAAACCACTGGACAGATTTTGATGAAATTTGGTATGATGATATCTGGTTGTCCGGGTCAACATATATAATACTTTTTACTGCGGGAAAATATCTCATTTCTGAGAAAAAATACAAAAACTGCAATGTAAGAGTATATACTAATATATAAAAACTAAGAATTTGGTTTTTGGTCATCTGAACGCGGGCGGAGCCGCTGGCAATGCTAGTAATATATAAAAGTACCGTAGAAAGAAAAACTCAAGTGACAATTTCTATTTCACTTGTAATTTACTACCCCGGACCTTTCACACAGAGTAGTTTAGTGCCATACGGAGAGTAATATTATCAACAAATATGCGTCACTTACAGCATTACTAAGTCATTGCACTGCGTCAGTAACAAAATTCACTCTTCCGTTCAAATTTATTTCGCCGACACTAATTGGTGGGACGGATAAATTATGGTTTAAATTGTTTATACAAAGTTGACCGTGGATGAAGTTTGCAACTTTGTCCATTTATCTATCTCTTGATTTACGATACTTTTTTTCCGTAATTTAAGGATTTGTTATCAATTTGAATGAAATATTGCTAGAACAGGCATCACAAGCGTCTTAGAAATGTTAAAAAATGAATAAGCGTTTGGTGTTTTACTTACTTGCAACTTACCCTTGCTTCGCCCGGGCGGGTTCCTGGAGGCCTTTTGTTTTTGTAACATTATATCAACTTTTGCAAAGTTTTATTATTAACAGTAGCTATGTATTTCTCCAGATCATGATCTATCTTTTTACTAAATACAATGCAAATCTATTTAGCCGTTTTAGCTTGAAAGAGTAAGAAATATACACAAATACAAATTTTCAAATTTATAACATAATTGTAAGTGTTATAAATAGCCCTCTTTAAAGACTGTAAATAATAATAATAAGAAGCTTAGTCTCAAGCAATTTTGTTTTAGTTATAGTAAATAAAAATATAATATTACACCACTAAGAGCGAGTTCAGACCTTTATGATTTACAGAAACGATTTTCGAATACGGTTTACCGTGGCGTATGCGAACATATGGCATATTATTGTATAGAAATTACTGCTTACGTCGTCCTTACTTTAAACTAAACTTTAAAGCTAAAACGATAATAATATGTCGAATGGTAGTTTTGAATTTCATACTAAATCATAACCAAATCAAGATTAATATCTACATTCTACATCATTAATGTAAATATTGTTGGGAAATAGAACCTTATATACTCTTCATTGTATCACGACCTTCAGTAATATTACAATATTTCTATTATTACAACAGTATAAATTACTTATCTGCTTCAGTGGTCTAGTGGCTAGTATATACGGCTACAGATCGGAAGGTCCTAGGCTCGAATCCCGGGTCGGGCCAAGTTTGTTAATGATTCTTCCTGTTTAGAATGCCTCAATAATAGCCCGAAGTTTGTAAGTTGGCAGTGTTTTACTCAGTGCTGCGCCTGATCTCTCACTGGTTGTAACTAATTGTCGTCCCACCGGAGTATGGGAGTGACAGGAATAGAGAGTACGCTTGTGTCTGTGCATACTTGTGCACGATAGTATATGCTCCTCAGTTGGCTAGTCTCGGTAAAATTAGCCGTTGTGTCCGAAACTGTATGTTTACATTTGTCCTTATAATGCTTGGTTGATAATGTTGGTGTAATGTGAGTTTATTTAAGGCTTTTATGATATACTGAAGTCTTTACTAAAACCTGTATAAATTAGAGACAGGATATTCAGAGCTTTAATATGACATGGTATGTAATCTTATTTTGGTACTAGCATTGCCCGCGGCTCCGCCCGCGTTCAGATGACCTAAAACCAAATTCTTAGGTTTTACAAATTAGTATACTCTTGCAGTATAGTACATTGCAGTTTTTGTATTTTTTCTCAGAAATGAGATATTTTCCCAGGGTAAAAAGTATCCTATATGTTGACCCGGATAACCAGCTATCACCATACCAAATTTCATCAAAATCCCTGGTAGTTTTTCCGTGATGCGGTAACAGACAGACAGACAAAAATTCTAAAAACTATAGATTCGGCCTCTGTATTGATAATAATGTTTATTTCAATAAGATTTTCCAAAAAACATTTAATGTACAGATTCGGTTTTGTTACAATTTTATTATATGTATAGATTAGTAAAACGCAATCAATATATGTATATGTAAATGGTATAAAATGAAAATGGCTCCAACTCACACATCTTTCCATCTTTCCAACAAACATTACGAAACTTAATTTTCTGTCACTTGTTATACAAGTTCAAGAGAAATTAGAACGTTAAGAATCGTCAAGTATTCTTTAAACGTTTGTTGTTCAAAGTAATTTCTCGTAAGATTTTATTAAATTTCTAATTGCTAATTACTAAAGGCTCAAACAAGCCCGTTTGATATCTATACATACATATGTATGATAAAATTGAAACTAATCGCTGTCTGTACATGGAAGATGTTTGAGAAAAACTATTATTTATTGTATTTTTAACGCAATAGAACCCAAAGCAAGAATTTTTAGAATTATTGTTCGTTTGTCTGTGCTCTCGCCGATCTCAGAAACGGCTTAACCAATTTGAATGCGGTTTTCACTGAAGCATTGTGATAAGCTTAATTTAACATTTAGTATGTGTTTTATTTCAATCGGTTCATAAATAAAAAAATTATGTCGATTTAAAGATGCACGTAGGGACGAACATGAGAGAAGTGATGGTGAGTCACTACTATTATATAATTTTATTTTGTTAAAACAAAATACGATCAAATAATATAATAATATATAAAAGTAAAAAAAAACTCCTAAAACGGTGGCATCAGCTCATATTATATTCCACATCAAGCCCCACAAAACTTGATTTTCTCTCCCTTAAGTTATTATAGAACACGTTTAAATAAATTAGAATATTAAGTGGCATCAAGTATTCTTTACGCGTGTTCCCTTTGAAGATAGATAATAAAACATCCCGTATACAATATATACAAATAATTATAATGTAATTAGTATGAAGGTTGATGGTGAACATGAAAAGCGTGAGCTTCTACGTACGTAATTCTATACACGTTACAAAGAGTATCCTGTTTGGAACGCTACAAGTAGAAACGTCTACCGCAGTTACATTTATGTTGTTCAATTTGAAATTCAGGTAGTATATACATAAAA